GGCTTTTCGACGCTTCTCTCGTTTTACGACGCTATAAGTGGGAATTCAGAAATTCCCTATTTTGGCGAAGAAATATAAAATAGACTGGCTTCTCTCAATAAAATAAAATATATTTTCTGTACCAAATACACCTTAAAATTGTAAAGTGGTGGTCTTATTAGTAAATAAAAGTGTGTAGTTCATTAATGTTTTATTATTTTATCATGCTAGTGTATTTATTATTAAATTGAATGTATAAAATACCTTTGACTAAATCCTTTTCTGGTGATAAAGCAATGTTTTAATGTTTTAGGCGCTTACTTTTATAGGCCAGTTACCCATTAAAAAAAATATCAAAAATACAGTCACAGGTGCTTGCACCTCTCCATGCATGCTCCACCCTTGCTTGTATATGAAAATACACGGTTATATTTCTTCGAAATACATTATTAAATACGAACCAAAAATGTATAGATTCATTTCAATAATAATTAATTTACTTACTAGTCAAACCTAGCTATAATTTTTAACCATTTATGTTCTGAGCTCTTTATGTGCACTTATGTCCTGAAACTGTGAAATATATGACAAGATATGACAATATTTTACAAACTTCTGTTTGAATAATGAATTATATTTTATGAAAATTGCATCCGTTTAAGATTTTTGAAGCTTAGACACTTTTGTGCTATTCAATTTATGCAAAAGTCACAACTTCGTACCTGTATTTACATTCTATCACTGTAATTTCATGACTTTCTCAAGTTTTACGTGAAATTGCACGCTTAATGCGAACACGAAAGGAATAGAAATTGAAATAATTACACAGTTGTGCGAGTCGTTTATTAATAACAAAATATACATTTATATACATTATACATACTATTAATATTCAAAATGGTCCTTTAAATTTGCTGTAAATTCTTTAATCATATACTTATAGAAGAATTGTTGACTGCACCTAACATGTATGTGGATTAATTACAAATAAAGAAGATGAAAACGCCGTTTGGATATCAAAAACACAAGATTTTGTCAATCACAAAATACATTTTCTGTAACTGATTAGAAATGGCAGACACAGGGGTCAGAAAGTTGAAATTTTTGCCTTCGAATTTCATGATATAAAAAGCCGCTATGTTTTGGAATTGAATAAAAAGGCTTTGGGAATGAATGAACACCCGTTTTTAGTTAAAAAAATATAAAATATTATCTATTACAACATTTCTTTAAAAACGGCAACTAAAACTGTTAGTAACAATAAAATCTTGATGTATTTACAAAAGTCAACCACATATAAATTAAATGTTTATACACACATAACGTGTTACGGCATACACCTTACGGAATATTTCTTACACGCCTGATAACACAGAAAATAAATAATAATTATATAATAAATAATCATATGCAAAAATGGAAGAAATATGCAACATTATTATACTTCATACATTTAACACTAATTTAATTCAACCCTTATGAGGTATCAAGTATTGCAGCTTTTAATGACGCCGATAAGTAATAATCTAACGGAGATATGAAATATCATTAAGTTTTAATACTGATTCATCAAAAACTTTTATTTCACTATGACTATACGTTTAACGAAAAACAAAATTTATAATTACTTTAATACAATTTACGTGAAGACTTTGAGATGTGATCTTTGCCGGCATGTATGTACTTAGTACCATGAGAGTAATAAAATCATTTTTCTAAAAAATATATCTGTCGAAATCGCGTTTCAATCTGTAAATATTTTAATACGTTTACATCTAAATCACTGAAACAATTAAAGTACAGCACAACCAACTTTCAGCACCATTCGTTAACAATTAAATATTAATAAAAATCATACAAATTCACGCCACGAAATACTTAAATAATTTAGGCAAATATAAACTTATATCTATTTTAAATAAATTAACTTAATTACGTTACTTATGCCCGGGTTTTATATTATAAACACAAGTAATTGCTACGAGTCGTAGAGCGCATAACATTTTTTAATTAAATGGGCGCTTGTAACACTGCCGCCCATGCACACTGCCAGGTTTGCGAGTGCGTTGCCGACCTTTTAAACAAGCCTTTATATGTTATTTTCTTCAGATTTCGTAAAAGAAGTATCTCTAAGATCGTATAACTATTTGATTATTATGATGCTTATGTTGAACAATTAAAATATTATGAAATTTATAAAACAGAAAGAATCGTTGCAATTACGACTAGTAGATATAGAAACCGGGTGAGCTTATTATTAATAAGAAAGTTAAGTTAGATCTGACAGAATCCTCTATTCATAAAAAAAAATTATTAAAATTTTATAGTTAAAAATAAAAATATTTTTTTTTAATAAATTACCCATGACAGATTAAATCTGTACCTTAAAACTAAGGTTTGGAACAATTTTTACTACTACAGAATTATATAAACTTTAGTTAAGATAAACTGGATCAATCAAATCTGCTAAAAATGGGAATGATTAAAAAATACTAAAAGAGGTTTTAACTACAACTTAGAAATAGTTAAGATAAAACAATTAATTTCCATAATAATACAAAATATGTACGCGCTTAGAAAAAATAATCTACATAAGTGAAATTTTTCCGAAACCGAAAAGAATCGGAAAATATAAGCGCTAAGCGCATGACTCGAAGACGGATGGGCCAATTCGAGTAAATTTTTATTTATTCCTTGAACTCTGAGGAAGGTGGAAGGAAATTAGAAAATAAAAAAAAATAAAATAGTTAATTTTATTTAGTACTAACGTTTTTATTCCGAAACAGTTACTGTGGCATAGCTATGTTCCATATGTTGGTATCTACATACCAGCTAGTATCATAGTAGCATAGTAGCTACCTACTAAAACGGTAGTCTAAGAAAAATAAATCATATGAAGGCGAAATGTAGTTCGCTAGCTATTTTTGTATATACAGTCAAAATCTGTTATAACGACACCGAAGGGACTATTCATATTTGGTCGTAAAAACCGATAGTCTTAACAGCCGATGACGTTGTTATTAAGAACCCAATACAATAGAAATCAGCCGGGACCTTTGATTTAAAATAACCGGTATGTTGTTCTAAACGATGTCGTCGTAAACGGTTTTGACTGTATCTTAAAAAAAACAGTCTGATTCACATATATATATATACTGCTCAAAACAATTACGGGAACAAAACTTTAAAGTAGAACTAAACTTTTTACTTAAGGTTTTAATTATTACTGGCCACTAGATAATGTTGAGGCATTGTCGAAGAAAATAAAAAACAAAAGAGCATCGGCGTTTTGGTTAGTAGTCCTATAATAAAGTGGCAGTGTGTCTAGAAACACCTAAAAACAAAGTGACGTCTTTGAATTTTCATTACTTTCTAATCACAGAAAACACATTTTAAGTAGTTTTTTTTAATCTTTTGAGTATTAATAAAAATTAAAGTGAGCCTTTTGAGTATTGTTATTCATTGAAGCGAGTGAGTTTAGGTCATAATGCCAGATCTGACTGAATTGCATGTCTCCCGAGCTATCGCTTTGCTTGAAGAGGGTCGAACAATGCGTTATGTAGGAAATGATCTAGGAGTATTCATCCCCTTCTGAGCCCCTTCTGTTATCTAGACTTTGGAAGCGATACCGTGAGACGGGAGAATACTCACGAAGGCGTGGTCAAGGTCGAAAGAGAAAAACTACACGTTTGCAAGATCGCTACATCGTCAACTGTGCTTTACGTAACCGCACCACAACTGCAAGAGATCTACAAAATACACTAAGGACGGCTACTGGTGTAGAAATTTCCGACCAGACGGTAAGAAATAGGTTGTTGGAAGCCAATTTGAGATCACGCCGACCAGTTCGGGCTGTGCGTCTAACAATTCAACATAGACAAGCTCGCCGACAGTTCGCGCAAAATCACGGCAACTTCGACATTGGAGGCCAGTGCTTTTTACTGACGAATCACGATTCCGTCTAACACGTTGCGATGGTCGTCTCCGTGTTTACAGACGCCCAGGCGAGCGATACAGTGCAGCAGCAGTCCAGGAATATGACAAATTTGGATGTGGCTCTGTGATGGTTTGGGGCGGAGTTAGTTTGGACGAGCGCACAGATCTCGTCGTTGTTCCCGGGCGCTTGTGTGCTCAAACTTACATTGAAAATGTGCTCGAAGATCATGTTTGGCCCGCAGCATATGGTATGGGCCCAGATTTTCTTTTAATGCAAGATAATGCCAGGCCGCATACTGCAGCCATCACGTCAGATTACTTACGACAGCAGGAAATCCGTGTAATGGAGTGGCCTTCCATGAGCCCTGACCTAAATCCAATTGAACACATTTGGGACTTGCTTGACAGGCGCATCCGGAAGCGTCCGATTGCACCTCAAACACTGCAGCAGCTCACTGAAGCGTTGATTGAAGAATGGGAGCGAATTCCACAAGAAGATATTCGGAGGATCATACGAAGCATGCCGCGTCGTTGTCAAGCCGTGATTAGGGCTCATGGAGGCCACACACGTTACTGAAAGTCACTAAAGACGAATATTCAAACGATATAAGAATATTTCTTTGATGGACCTTTTTTATCACCAATTAGTTTTTCGTCTACAATGCACATTTTAATTTTTTTTTAATAAAAAAAATACAAATTGAATTTTTTTATTAATTGTAGTAATTAACAAATTAACAATGTAAAAAATAGCGTACAAGTTAATTTAAATCTAATTTTAGTTTAAGCAATAGAAAGGAGAAAAATCTTGTTCCGCTAATTGTTTTGAACAGTATATATATCACAATCGATCTATTTCTTTACTACTTCAATCATCTAAAAAAAATCTAAAAAGTATGAGTTTATCATATCACAATCAGACAATTCAATATAAATATTATGCGCCTAGTAAAATCTTAATAGCAATTCTCGTAACGTATTATAAAAATTCTTAATTTTTAACATTAAATTAAACAATATTAACAATACTTTACAGAACATTCTGCTCTCGACAGATTTTTGTATCACCTTACATTACAATATCTTCATCTACTCGTCTCAGCCTTTGGGACCTAGAAATATACAAATAAGTCTTAGTAAATTTTAAAAAATGTCCAGCAATTTGTAAGATTAGTAAATTATGTGTTTTGAATATTGTTATATTTGAAATACCTTGTTTTTTAATTGATTTTTTCTTTTTTTAAAGTTTTTAATAATAAAAATAAAAAACATACAGGATGGTAGAATAAATAACTATAGGTAGGTAGCATAGCAATTTTTCTTTCTATGTGGCTGTCAATTCTCGTGAAGGAAAACATGAGGAAACCGACATGCCTTAGACCCAAACAGTCGACACGTGTCAAGCCCAGAAGTCTGATCATCAGCTACATAAGATAAATTTTTCGTGATTATTAGGGAAAAAAAAAAGAAACAGACACAGAAATCTAAGCCTTTCAAAGGTGGTAGCGGCATTTGGTTTTTTTTAATTTGTGTTCATCAATGTGTTAATGTTACAAAAAATCTAAATTAAGCAGAAAAACAAAAAAAATCCTTTTCATTGTGTCAAAACTCAAGAATATTTACATTAACCAAACTTTTTTTTTTTAAAAACGTCATAGCTTTTTTCTTAGTAAACAAATGAATTGTGCCTACCTTATCAGTAATCGTACCCAATATTAAAGGGGATGACGGGGCCGGCGTGTCCACCTCCTTAGTAGCAATAATTCGCCTAATCTCCCCTGCCCTCTCAATGGACTCCGTGGGCAGCCACCTCCATATCAGAGGGAAGTATAGTTCAGCATCCATTTTGCTATCATCCCTCTCGTCAAAGAACCATCCCACTATGGCCCCGACTAAAATAGTCGCCAGGAGACCTAGAGGGGCAATCCAATGGTAGGAAAGACGGAAAAGGGGGAACACTGATTCAGGATCCTGAAAACCAGAGATCAACAATTTAAAAATAAAGTATTCTTCTTGAGATTATTTTCACTTTACACCACTGACCTGTCATCATAGCGTAAATGTTTGTGAATAATGTTTTAAGTAGGTACTTGCAAAAAATAAACAGATTTAGTTTTTAATGAGGAGTTGCGAACAAAAATGGGCGCTCATGGCGAATGGATAGCTAGGGATCGCGAATGCGTTGCCGGCCTTATATCTGTTTGACGCTTATATTACTAATCGTATATTTTTTTTAAATTTTTTGAAGTGTAAATAAGCTAAGTAAATTAAAAACTTTACTTAAATAACATATAGGCCATAAGCCAACTTCATGTCGATGTCAGGTTATAGGCCAGCTAGTATGTTGTGAATTGCCAATAAATACATTTTTACTACAGTAGTAGTACATTTATTGACTTAAGAAAAATTTATTTAAAAATCAGCCCACTGAAGTTTGATTATTATGTAGTTTACCGAAGGGTTATTTAAAAAAATGATAATATGTAGAAATTACGATAAATATTTTTTTTAATTAAATTTTTAGGGTTAACCATCACCCAACTTTAGCTTGTCGTTGATATTTGGGACAACTATATTAACAATTAATTATTTCGTATACTTTAAGTTACTTAAGAAAATGGTTAACTTACGACTGTACTATGTTCAAACACAAAGCTCGCGTTCTTGACACATTCAGAGGTGAAGTTAAGTGGAGGAGACCTCAAGCCAGACGCAGCTGCCACTTGAGTGCCCATTGATACTGTACCTAATAAATTAAAATAAATTAAAGAAATTAAAATTAAATTATGCAAATAAAAGTTGGAAGATAAAATTCTTATTCTTTCATTTCATTTATTTAAAAAAAATCAACTTAAATATCAACACACTGTCCAACTATAAGGACGTAAGTGTTTCCAATGTCGCAGCCAACTAGCTTAATTAGCCGTTCAATCGACAGCCTAGCCTCTTTACTAAACAGCGCCGTTTAACTAGACAATATACAAGTTAGTAGAAGCAACCTCAAATCTCACGAGTGCTTTCCGCACAAACTTATACCTAATTACGTAATAAACATTATTTATTTACTTATCTTAGACAACATATAACACACAGGTTACATAAATCATTAGGCAAGGCAGGCTTTATCGCTACCAAGCGATTTCTTCCAGGCAAACCTAGTGAGGATAAATAAAAAGAAATACCTACTGAAAGTGCTTAGCAAAATTTAAAAAAAAAGTGCTTAGCTAAATTAAAAAAAACTAGATTTTTAAAAAAAGAACTTTTTTTAAAAATCCAGTGCTGCTACAACCTTTTAGGTCTGGGCCTCAGATTTCCTCGTGATCATTTCTTTTTTCTTAAAGGCAAGTAGGTGATCAGCCAAGGCAAGTAGTAGATTCTGTGCCTGACACACGCCATCGACTTAGGTCTTTCGCGTGACGGTTTTCTGACGATGTTTTCATTCACCGTACGATCGGGTGCTAAATGGGCACATAAACAGAAACTACACCTTCGACTTCAGGGATGAGAGTCGTGCGCTAAAGCCAATAGGCCAATACTACCTTATACTGTACTAATTAAGAGAGAAATCCTAGTGTTACTCACCAGCAACCACAGCTCCAGCGATCCCACCAGCGATGGCACCACGAGGTCCCACCCACCAACATCCCATACCCAAGGTAAAGATACCACACGTCGAACTAGAGGCTATAGCTGATAAGGCTGTTGCCACTCCTGGAATATTTCTGCTTTATTAAACTGAAGGTTAAACAGCAGATTCTGCGTTAAGAATGACTTCTAAATGTCAAAAAATTACTTAGTTTAATTATATTTGACATAATAGTCACGTTTGTCTTGGAATATTAACCCAAAAGTCGACTAATTTATGCTTAAAATTATTAAATCAACGAAAATATATAAAAAACCATCATAAAATAAATACTTTTTTCAGAACAATACAAAATATGAGTTATATAACCTAACATTAGTTACGTTACATATATATTTTAATAAATAAGTAGAAGCGTAAACAAAATGTAAGCAATCATCGTCAATTGATGATAAATCCGGCAGAAATGAGCCAGTTTAATACACCATCCAATTTATTTTAGAACACATGCAAAAGGTGGCTTATCTGATGTTAACTGATACCACCGCCCATGGTCACGTACACAGTGCATTGCCGACCTTTTAAAAATAGATACGCTCTTATCTGGAAGGACCCTAAGTCAAATTGGTTCGGAAAAGTTCAGGCAGCTGGTGATGACGATGTGTGGCAAAATTCCCCAGAAAGCGCTCAGTTGGACTGTTCAGTTAAAACACGCGCCTAGTTAAAACGACGGATGTGAAGGTGATACGGGTGGAATTTTGTATTCTGCCTCAACGTCCGATGATAATAATAATAATAAATCGTTTATTTGCCAATATAGTGGTACAATTAGATCGATCAACTAAATAAATCCGCACAATCAACCATATCTAAATAGGCATGCAAATGTCATATTGCATTAACATGGTCTAAGATCCCGCTATACAACGACCTTCACCGAGATGCTTATTTAATGAAACTTATTTTATATATAATTTAATATGTCAAAAAAATATAATCAATATGGGTTGCCTAGCAAATTTCAGTCCAGAGTATGTTTAATTAATTTAAAAAAAAAATTTTTTTAAACATTTCACCGGTATGATTATTAGATAAATTCTATACCAATCGAACGTATGAAGCCCATAGAATATGCAAACGTTAGGTTGTTTTTAATCAATTAATTATTTATGTGTATATTTTTTATGTGACACTAAAGTATACTTTCTTATTTTTATTCAATATTTTTAAAATTTTCATTCTTTTTTATTTTTACTATTTTTTAATACTTTCCTAAATTTTCAAATGGAGTGACATTACAATACTTTATTCTTCCCCTTCCTCGCATACCATTTTCAATTCTAAAATTTAATATAACGCTTAGGTTTGTGTACCGTACTATTGATAGGTACAATGAAGTCTCCAGTGTTGAGGACAAGAAAAGAATCCACCCCAAGGACACCACATATAAACTTCAACCATACAAGAAATCCTGTCGAAAACAAAGTTGATGGCTTTGCAGATGGGTGTCAGTAGGAAAACAGTAAAAAGGTTTTAAATAAATTTGGTCTACCATACAAAGAAAGAGTCACCTACTTAATGCTCGTCTAAAAGAATAAGGCTTAAGAGATCGCGGGGTTTGTTAAACGGTACCGAAAAACCGACACCGTGATATCCTCTTTACACGAAAAATTTTTCGATATTGAAGAGAAGTACAATAAACAGAATGATAGAGTGTACGCTAGGAGTTCTGAAGAAGCTGGAAATAAAGTTCCGAGGGTCAACATGGACATCATCCATCATCATAATGGTCTGGTTGGGAGTGTCCTATTACGGGCCAACTGAGGTTCATTTTTGCGAAAAGGGGTCAAAACCATCAAAAGTGTATCAAGACACGGTTTTGGACCAGCTTGTCAAAGACCTCCCACACCTATTTTCGGGACATCACTTTGTGTTCCAACAGGACTCTGCCCTCACACAAAGCCAAGACCACTCAAACCTGGTTTGAGGTCAAAACATCGACTTAATTAGACATGAGGATTGGCCTTCCTCCAGTCCAGACCTTAATCCTTTGGACTATAAAATTTGGCAGGTCTTAGAGAGGAAGGTCTGTGATAAACCCCATAAAAATTTGGAGTGTCTGAAGTCATCTTTAAAAAAAAGCAGTCACTGAAATCGACATGAATATGGTGCGTCTGCGATAGACGACTAGCCGCGGCGCTTAAGGGCCTGTATTAAAAATAAGGGAGGTCATTTCGAATAATTTTATGCTATTTCTATTTCTTAATTTATGTACTATTAATTGATATATCACTCATTAAAAACTGATCAGTACTTTAGTTTTTATCATTATTTCTATTTATGACAGAACTTTGGGACCGACTACGTATATACATCTTTAGTATAAAAGAAGGTTATAGTGATACATATATAATACTACCCTGATTAAAAATATTGATTGAAAAATGTTCAAAAAATTTACTACATGCAAATTATAAAAAAAAAAAAAATTTAAAATATTAATTAAACATACTCTGGACTGAAATTTGCTAGGCAACCCATATGGATTATATTTATTGACATATTAAATTAAATATAAAATAAGTTTCATTAAATAAGCATCTCGGTGAAGGTCGTTGTATAGCGGGATCTTATACTAACACATTTCATACTATTTTCATATTATCATAGGACATTAATAATGCAACTCAGCTGCAAGTATTAATCCGAACAACTCCTCTGAACCTCTATCTCTACATGCGATAAAAGATGCAGAGAGACCACACCCCACATCTTAACGCCAAGGGATTAACTCAATTTAAACTATCATACTCCAAATCAACCTCAGAATTATGTGTAATTTGTAATAAAATTATCCCAACACTATTTTTAATTCATACTGGATCTGACACTAGCGTTTGCATTGTAGATATGATTTAAACTATAAAAAATGGTTTAAAAAAGTAATTACCAAGAACACCACCGAGTTTTTGAACGACAAGCAGCATTAGTAGAGAGGAGACAGCCAAAATTCCCGTCACAGACCTGGCGAGAATGCCTTCCACCATCGGACGGAGTCGGATTTGCATCCAACCATGCATTATGTCCTCCACAACTACCAATGCGCATGCGTTCAACACTGCTGATAAGGAGCTGCGAAATTAACGAATTCTTAAGTCTTTGAAAAATAGGTGATGAGTCTGCGAGATCGACAAAAAGAGGCCAAAAAATTAATTTAACGTATATTAGAAGTTTATATAGGCATATATAATATTATCATAAGGCATTTTAGTGGACAAAAAACTTATTAAATATTATCACTACTTATATTAATATCGTTTTTCGTCTCGCATTTTTAATCTTCTTTTGTATTCAGAAAAAAAATATGATAACTCAAAAATGGCTCACTTCCATAATGCTTATGGGGGTTAGCCATAACTATCGCAAATAGTCCTAACGGGAATTCGTAGAATTACCAGGAACCCTGTATATAATGATCGAAATTAAATACGATACAAATTAATGACAAAAATCTTATATGTACGTAGAATATTATATATTTAGTCAAAAAGTAAGTCCAAAATCAATGTAAAATACGATTTTTTTTATTACACTTAGCAAGTGACGGCCTTATTTATAAAGATTCCTTTCAAGTTTTCATCTATTTATGATTTCAGGCTGTATGAATAGAAGTTAAAACCATTGATTTTAATCTTTACTTAATAAGAAACTTTACCTCAAACCAGCTCCAAAAACCCCAGCCAAAAAGACTCCAGCAAGCCCTGGAAGCTTCTGCACATTGGCCACATAAGTGACGAATGCTGGGAGCAGTCTATCATCAACGAGTGGCGCTCCACGAGGGTCGCAGCCGCCTTGTACCCACGCAGCCCATGCAGCCAACCCACACCATACACATAAGGATATCGCTAGCATTGCCCCAATGCAGAATATACCTAAGGCCCTGGAATTAATATATTAACGCTTTCAAAAAGAACAAATCAAAATGATTGGTTTTTTTTATTAAAAAAATGACAATGACAGGTAGCTTATCCTACAGACACTGGTCTCCACACTAGGGACATCATCCCTCGTACCTGACCAGATACTCTGCCGTGGTTCTTATATACGCGGATGAATACAACATTTTCGTTCTCACCCAATGAAGTATGTATAGGTATGATTTTAAGAAATTTCTACGAACTTTGTATGTTCCCTCCTAATACGAAAACCAAGATCAACCATTGAATTGTATAGTTCTCAGCCGTTAGTATTAAAACAAAGCCTCGTTCGCTTTTATAACAGAATAGTGTATTTTTAACTTGAAGGGCAATGATAATTTGATAAAACAATTTCAATGGACGATAACCATGAGTATCGCCACTTGACTTATTCCGAATATAATAAAATATATGTCGGAGAGCAATGGCGCTGGCACTAACACCATTGCTTCAACATAAATAATAAGGACTATTAAATTGATAGCCAAATAGTCTGTTAATTTGTAGATCTATTAAAATTGGCAACTAATTTGACTTTGAAGTTATTAAATATTAAAAATGGCAGCCGATACCAGCGCCATTGCTCCGTCATATATATTATCCAAAAATATAAATATTAAATTAAATTCTTATGCAAAATAACATTTATTCTAATAGTCAAAATTTTACACTCAACCCGCGGCTTAAACAATTTAACAATAAATATGATTTAATTGGATCTTTTCTATAATATACGGCTCGTTGAAATTACGATAAGTATAGTATTGTAACACAAGACACTTACGTGATAGCTTTCCTCTTACTGGGCAAAGAGATATATCGCTGAACCATAGTTTGATTGACGGAGTTGAAGCAAGTCCAGTATAAGAAACCACCTACGACCGCACCCCATCCAGTCTGACGTTCGTAGGGTACAAAACTCCAACTGAAGCATAAACATTTACGATTTTATATAAAAGTGGCGCGACAACCCTGGATTTCTGTATATTTTAAGAGGCAAGTAGGTGATCAGCCAGACACGTGTCGATTTTTAGATCTAAGGCATGCCGGTTTCCTCACGATGTTTTCGCTTCGTACGTGAAAAATCAATAGGTTCACAGTCGTGTTTCGAACGTACAACCTTAGGGTTGAGAGTTACAAGTTCTAGACTGTACATATTTTTTAGTTTTGTACATAAACCTATATAGTTGAGGTACATATTAGTATACACAGTGAATTGGTTAGGATTTCTTTTATTTTTATTTACTAGATTAATGATACGAGACAGAGACCAATACAAAATTATACTATATATGTATTTCGTTGTCGACAGCCTTTTCTACATTTTAGGTATTGTTATTATCTTGAATTTATTTAGTTAGTCGTCACTGTGGAGGTACAACGTGCGCTGCGGGCCACAAAATCAAAACTAGCAAAACTGACCAGCGCAGTGAGTTAACTCAATTGCGCTAATATTGTAATTTTAATTTGTATATTTAAAAATAATATCCTAGAGTTATCAAAACTATAATTCAAATGGAAGTAATATTTCGTATTTTGACAACCAAGTTATATGTGCTAGCAGTTACTACTGTAAAAAAGTATCCAAAATTATTAAAGTCAACACCTTAAATTATTAAAAACAACACCTTAAATTATTAAAAACAACACCTTAAATTATTAAAAATACAGAAGTTACAGATCACTGTCGTGTAATTCTCTTAAGTTACTACTGTAAAAAAGTATCCAAAATTATTAAAGTCAACGCCTTAAATGATTAAAAACAACACCTTAAATTATTAAAAACAACACCTTAAATTATTAAAAACAACACCTTAAATTATTAAAAATACAGAAGTTACAGATCACTGTCGTGTAATTCTCTTAAGGGAACCTTCCCTAGATAAGAATTTTAAAGGCAAGGTACCTTTATAACTTGGGAGAGTGTTTAGGTTATACGTTTTGACAAAAATATCTTAACTGTTCTTGTTAATATAACATTTGCATACCTATGGCTGATTGTGCGTTTTTTTATAATTAATCAATCTGAATATACCGCTTTTGCAAATAAACGATTTATTATCTAAGTATTCTTACTTAGACAATTCCAGTCGACCAGACTCCGCAGCCGTATCGAAGACAGTAGACACGCCTCCCACCGCCAAGGTGCCAGCTATCGCTACCAGAAACACTCCGATGAACATCACACCGGTCTGCCAGGAGTCCGTCCACACAACCGCTCTAAGACCACCCTGTAATGTAAATGTAAATTGAAAATACATTCCATACGAATACTATAAAGCTAAAAAGTTTGTTTGGATAAACTAGCGCGCACTCGCGCCATCTTAAGAGCTTTGGAAGTTGAAGTTATAATTTGTGTTGGACAGTCCATTTATCGAGGAATCATGCTACCATAGAAGATCATGAATGAAAAATACCAAGACGGAAATATATTCTGTTTAACCAACTTCAAAAACCCGAAGGAGGTGGCGTGTATATTTGTGTACGTTCCAAACTATTCCTTTTAATTGCGTGTACCGCATAAACGATAAAAGTAATGTACGACAAAATTGTTCCTCTTTGAATCCTAAAAACAGTCCTTAGACAGCGATAGCATTTCAATAATGAGTAAAATTTTGTCATTATTTAATTGTCAACAAAATTGCCATTACACATTACAATCCTTTGATGCTTTTTTTACATGTTTATTATTTTTATCTTCATCATCATTGTTCAACTCATCTATATACTGTAAAGAATAACCTTATGCAGTTCATATGAATGCGCATGATTTGATTTGAATGAACATGAGGAGATATCGTTTTAAAAAATCTCCAATAAAATTCTGCTCACGAACCACGCACATATTTATGATGCACGGGTCTTAAACTGGGAAGTACTAGGTGTAATAAAATTTATCATTAACGGTGTAAATGAAATGGTAAAGGACCAAATAACAAGAAATAAATCAAAATTTAGTGAAATTATAGGCCAGATATTATACGCACAATGGACCTATTGAGAGTCTAAGTGCGGTAAAAAGAGTCCACAAACCAATAGTCCAGATATAACGGCTTGTAAATACGTACCAATGCTGTATATAGTCCACAGATTAGCACCATGACACCGGCCACAGCGAACACGTTAAAACCCGTCACTGAAATTTTAAACAAAATTTTTAATATCTATAGAGATATAAATAAAATTACCCTATAATTTTTTTTATTTTAAGAGTTATCAAAAAATCCACGTGAAATCTGACTTTTAATCAAAATTTCTACTACAGATAGATTTTTAAACATTGGCATTTAACCTATCATTTAGTAAAAAAAAATAATGTGATTGTGTCCATCAGTTGTTCCTAGCTTCTTTTTTACGAGAAGATAAACGAGTAGATGAAAGCCTTGAAGTTTATATCATTTTTATATTATATATTTAAGAATTCAGTACGTTTAAATATTTCTTATTCTTTCGTGAAAATGTTCTTAAACTAAAAGAGTAAAAACTGCTTACATTGATTAAATGCTAAAGCTGGAACATAGATAACCATTGGTAGGAACAGCACCTATAAAAAATGAACAAATATTACATTTAGATTTATTAAATTGATTAGATTAATTATCAGAGAAATGTATTAAAGAAAAGCTGTGTAAAAAGACTTATGTACTATAAAGTTAACGATTATCCAGTTGATAAAAGGGCCTGGGACTAGTGCTAGACAGGCTACTTCTAATTAATTTGCGATATTTGTTTTAAAAAAAAATTTTGTGTTGTTTGCCATAGTCATTTTGTATGATGATTTGCTTTTTTAAAAGAGTACCGAGTGTTTTTTACGCCGGCTTTTTCTCTCAGCCTACACCCTCTGTCTTCTTTGCCGATGAGTAGGGATGTCTACAGATTCAAACTTAATGACGTGAAATAAGTGATACCTGTATCTTATGTTCCATAATAAACATATTTTATTCTTATTTGTATTTACCGTCCATGGATCAGTCAACACAAATAGACTTTGATATAAAAATGTGTACGCAAAAAGTACATAAAAATATTAACCATTACTGCCGTGTAATGCTTTCAAAAAGAAGGTGATTAAATTTTAAAAAGCTACGTTTTTTTATAGCCTGGGCAAGTATTTAGACCATAAGTTTGATATAAATTATTCAACTTATTATTATGACATTATGTTAATGATCTTATTATATGACCTTATGAAAATCAATATGACACTTGCATGCATATTTTTATATCGCTGATTATGCGGACTTTTATAATTAATCGATCTAAATGTACCACTTTCTTTGCAAATAATCGATTTATTAATGTAGTTTCAGTTTTAGAGAGCAACAGTTCGGTATTTGTTGCTGTGTTTGTTTTGGTTCGTAAAAAAAACAAAGTTTTAGGATATGCGTGTTCTTCATGATCAACACATTAAAGACGCTGGTGCTTAGTAATATGCCTAACACGATTCATCAAGGATGCCACCCTTTTCCGAATTTTCACCCTTTCCATTAAAACCTCGGATCTCGGCAAACATACCTGACGCACTGCAGAACCTCCGCAATTAATATAATACAAACAAATCGTTAATAGTCTACACTCTTTTATATATTAATATAGATTTCTAATAAAATTAATTTAAAATGTTTACTGCAGTCAATAACAAAGGAATCATTTAAATTCAATGACATTTTGAAATAAATCCATAAATTACATTTGTAATGAAAAATATTAATTTAACAATACAAGTAAGTACAATTCACTGAATAAATTACAAAATCTGCGACATATTATTATTATGTTGATGAATAAAAATAGAGCTGTATGTCTTAAGCGTACGACTATCAACCTTGAGGGTGTGTGTTCGAATCATGGTTGTGCATCTAACACTGGCTCATTCGGTAACGGCGAACATCGTGACCAACATATCTTGAGCAAAAAGCCTTGTAACAGGCACAGAATACTACAACTTGTCACACAATTTAAAAAAAAATGCAAATTGAGGCCAAGAGCTATCTATATAGGGTTGTAGCGCCACTGGATTATATATATAATCACTAAACATACACACTCATAGAAGCGATAAGACGGCAAGGCCTATATTGTAACAGACTACTATTTGTACAGTACGAATTTTATATATCTTTTAAATTTAATTCAGAACTATATCATAAGCTATTTACACATTTATTAAAACAAAAACTCCTTTTATTTCCGAATTACAAGTTAAACATATCTTGTAATTAT